CTTAATCTCAGTTGCCTCCCTGATGCTGCAATCTATGTAACTGCGTTTGGTGGAAAGGATGTTGGTGTGGTGCAGCTGGATACAGTCCCCCAAGTTGATATTATGCTTCACCATGGCTGACTTGTCTGGATGCTCTAGATTGCTATGTCGCTGGTGCTCCGTCCTATATACAAGGTAATCCAAAATTTCCAGCCCGCCAGTTACTTGGCTTGCCACCTGCTTTCACGCTGGTATCTTGTTCAGCCTATTTGACCCTGAAGATGGAGGCGATCCGTCCTATATACAAGGTAATCCAAAATTTCCAGCCCCCCAGTTACTTGGCTTGCCACCTGCTTTCACGCTGGTATCTTGTTCAGCCTATTTGACCCTGAAGATGGAGGCGATATGTTCCTCTGAAAAGTCAGGTGACTTTCCACAGACTACATGATGTTGTATCCCAGAATATAGTACTCTTTACTTGTATGTTGATACTTGTTTGAATGGTCTTCCATGTTGTGTACGAATATGAAGAGCTTTAAATACAGTGTTTAGTAGAATACGCGTATTTAACTTGTCCAGTGGAACTCACTTGGAGCATACCCAAACCACATTGAAGTACAGTTTGTTAACAGTTAACTTAGGGTCACTACTGAAAAATTGTTGCAGCATAATGATTCTCTAAAAGTTTGTGATACTGGTTGATTCATTATATGGATATTGTATTGGACATTATCTGTTGTCTTTGCTATCTCTCATACAGGCATTGTTTAATAAACTGGATTAGTTTCCATCTGTCCAGTGATTAAGACTATCTCTAATAGGCCCAACTAAGTAGGATCCTTTTACTCCTTTGCATGTGATGATGGAAAGGGATTCAGTTTCCAAATTGTTGTTTCAGCTGTACCCAAAAGAATGGACAATGTCAGATAAACTAGCTGTATAAAACTGCATCCTATATACTATTGCAATAGTTGATAATTTGCCTTGAAATTTGAATTGTGAAGTAGAATGTTCATGAATTCCAATGATTTTTATTTTCATGTTGGTAGGCTTTCAGTCTAATGTGTTATTTGTTTTGCATCAGATTGCTTCCAAATGTTCACAGTTAGCATGTTACAGCATTTAATAATATTACAGAATGTGTACTGTACCTTATATTAAGCACATCTCTTGTCATCATGGTGTGGTGAGTCTTCACACTGCAGACGGAGGAGATGGTCTTCAAGTATGGAGAGTAGTGTTTCAATAGTGAATAAGCAGTATGGATGGATGAATGATAAGTGGTGGTTCTCCAGGTTATACATTGGGATAGTTGCTAACAACTCCAGTCCATAAAATCTGCATGAGATACTGAACTTGGACTGTTCATGTGCTTAATAAGTGGTACTAAGCAGGTTACCTCAACAGTAGTGCCTTTGACTGATATTCAGGGGAATATCCAGTTCAGATCTAACAGAACATGAGCTATTCTGAGTTCGCCAGAAGTAAACTTCTACAAAACAGCACAGTATCACATCCCAGAAGGTAGTAGTCTGAACCTAAAATCTAACATTGTGGTGTATAGACCCTTTGCTAGGCAAAGACCTTAAAACAGACAAGACAACAGCTGTTGCTATGCAGTGACACAGTAAACACACCTGTACAACAATAGAGTTACTGTTGGAAACAGTGTTTTCTATTCAGTCCGTGCAAAGGGGTTATAAGGAAGACAACTGGGGAGACCAAATTATTTGAGAATTGAGTTCTGCATGGGAGACTGTGATGATGGAACCTGAGTGCATAAAACTGAAGAATCGCCAATGTTAGAATCCGCTGCGAGGGAATGGATGATGAAGACATAGTAGGCTGGAGAAAGGCTTAGCAGGTGCTTTGGTAATTTGTAAAGTGCAGAAATTGGCAATAGCTCTGTAACTGAGTGGTGTGTTTAAGTTGTCAGTAAATCCATACCCCACCTGTAATCACACCCCCAAACATGACAATATTCTGAGATTATTTATAGTTCTCATTATCCTTTCAGGTCTTAGGGTTTCCAAATGAACCAGGACCTTTTCCTCTTCCACCCTTCGTAATCATCCTTTCATGTTGTAAGATCTGAGGTTTCACAGTGGTGACTATGAAGAATGCCATCTTCAGGGTGGCTGCAGTCTGCAGCCACCTGCTCACATTGGATCCTCACTCTTGGATTTTTCTACCCTGAAGATGGAGGTGATACATTCCTCCGAAATGTCGGTTCACACAAGATCAACACAGTGCCACATCCCAGAAGACGACATTCTTCATCCTTTCATGTTATTTAATGCTAACCAATTGTACTCGATAGTAATACAGTATACTGAAGGGCAGTACCACAGCATACTATGCCAAATTTAAATCTATATTGAGGACAGAGTAGATATGAAAAGTTCAGTCCAGTGTGACATACGAGTTTACAACACTTCAGTCCTCATTCACCTTACATGTTTCGATTCAAAAGAATCATGTTCAGAGGCGCACCACTACGATAAGGAAACACTGTCACCTAAGATATTTTAACAACATGCACTTTAGATATGACTAATGCTCTCTATATGAATTTTGTTATCACAGTTGGTTTTGATGTTTTCTTAGGCACTCACAATCGCTCTTCTTGAAGTGTAGATTTACTGGTTATTCTGACTGGGGTTTTCCACTGCACGCAGTATTGTGTTCACTTTTCCATACAGTAGACTCCCAGTATATTTAAAATTTTATTAAAATTTCCATGTAAAAAAATAGTTATTATATTAAAATATCTTGAGCCGACATTGGGTCATGTTGTTTTCCTCCTGATGGTGGGAGATATCGTTTATTTCTCTTGATTTTATGTTCTTATTATTAGAAGTGTAATTTATGTGCGTGCTGTGTCATATTGAGGGTCAGTTAATGAAACTATACCAGATTTGCTTGCCTTCATTTGAAAGCTAATACAGTATATATATATATATATACACACACATATATTTAAAGTATGTGATACATGTAATAGTACAAATCAACAGTTAACATTAATCAAGATCACAATTTAATTCAACTTCTGTTAAACTGTAAAGATAGACAACAATAAAGTAAAGTAAGGAAACAATAAGATTCAAATTACTGCTTTGGGCAGATATAGGTTTTCTTAATTTGCTGTATTTTCCCTACATTCGTTTACTATTACAACGATTATTGTTTTCGAAATATTCATCTTCGTAGTCAAACAAGACATTATTGAGGAGCATTACTTATTTGATTATAAGCATTTATATTGAAAGCTTTCCTTAGGGAATCATTAAGTTTTGAACACTGTGTGTGGTGACACTCAAAAAGAGGTAAAAATATTAACATGGTAAGACATTAATCTAGGAAACAACACCTTGGAACTGTGTCACTTTGTTGTAGTTTAAAATTTTAAAATTAAAAGTAAAGATTTGATGAGAAGAAGATAGATTAAAGAAGTTTATGTGGTAAAAATATGAGGTTCATTTAAAAAATCACAGTTCCTGCATTTCTTGTAAAAAACACAAACTGTTCAAAGTGGTACACTGATAATTGCAGTTGTTTTTTTTTCCTGTAATTGTTGAACTGGATAAAAAATGTATCACTTCCCTACCAAACCTACTTTAAATACTGGAAAAATATAGCTATTTTGATTCTTCTCTGTAACATACCTTACAATTATTGAAACAGTATTGTGTTTAGTGATCATGTTTGGTGGAAGAATGTCGATAATTTATTTACATTCTGATTGATGTCACACTTAAAGATACAGGAAGTAATTTGTGGAATAAAACACTGGATAATCATAGATTACTGTATGAAGTAAAGCTAAAGCACAGTGAAATGGATAGATAAAGTAAATCATGACAACAGTTACAAGGATTTTAGCCTTTGAATGTTGTACCTGGAGTGTCTGTGATCAAACCCTGCTACATGCTAGGAGGAAACTGTGGTAGTGGTGTAGGCATAAAGGATTGTATTTATATTGCATCAAGCAAAAAATAAATAAAATACTATAATTTTAAAGTCATGTATAAACATTACACAATACTGAATAATTTTTTTGGGAGAGGGGGCATTCCTAATATTAACCTCTTTATGTCCTCAGAAAACTTTAAAATCATACCAATTTCATGACTATACTGTAAAATGTGGAATAATTCAGTATGACCTCAAGAACTGATTTCAAAATTCTGATAGCTATAAATATTTTTTACAAAAATTATTATCAGTATATAATTATATTCACCGTATTTGTTAAAATAAAGAAGCCTTAACATTATCACTAACAAAGTGAATGTTCTTTAAACTGAAATTCAGGACCAAGTGTCATGGTGCACTGGTTTGTATTTTGTTGATCTCTAGTTTGAAGTTTCAGTTCCTCCATGTGACTCCAAGGCTAATTCTTTAGAATAGCCCATATTGCTATTCTTTACTCTTGTCCTCTTGTCATCAACCTGTTACATATCATGTAACTATGCAACTCAAGCACCTGATGCAATATCATAAAGTAAATGAATAAACAAATAGTGAAATTCAGGACATAAAGGATTAGTATGTTTATGTGGCCACACCATAGCTCAAGCAGTTAGTCACTGGCTTACCACTGCGGCGGCCCGGGTTCTATCCCGGGTCTGGTCAAGTGGGATTTGTGGTGGACAAAGTGGTACTGGGGCAGGTTTTCTCCGAGTACTTCGGTCTCCCCTGCCAATCTTCATTCCACCAGTTACTCCACAATCACCCTCACCTATCATCTGGGGCTGGTACAATAGGCCAGAAGTGGCCGCAGTACAAGGGACTTAGTTCCACCCCACTAGCAATAATAAAAATAAATAAATAGTATGTGTATGATAGTTTGCTGTAAGTCTAAACGCTGCAAAACATTTAAGAACAGAGTTGTTCATTGAACCTGAAGGTATCGAAAGCATACCTGTATTGGTTACTTGTATTGTAGTCACACTGAGGAGTCTAGCATAGCTGTAATTCTTTACACCTGTATTCAGGAAATGCTAGGCTCGAATCTCAACAAGGGCACCAGCTATACTTCCAGAGATATTCATTGTATTTCTCAGCCCCTCAAGGCAAAAGCAAGGATGTTACCTTGATTGCGTATATAGTCAAGCTACTGAAGTGTCTTGAATTAATCAACATTTATTAATTTTTAAATACAAATATGTGACTTTCTTTCATGTAGCAGGGTTTGGTACAATTTGAAATGTGCTCAGAAAGTAGATGTTCCTTCTTCAATGTAATGCTGTGTTCCAGGAGGAGCTTTGTATGTTGGGTAGTTTGGGGTGAGGGCATTCTGGGCAAAGAAGGCAGAATAGTCTTTGTGGACTTTCTTTGGACGGAAGGCAGGTCCTTTAGCCAGTGCTTTTCTAGCCTCATTCTCAGCTGCAGCTTGCATCTTGTAAGCTGTTGGTGGCCACTTCTCGTCCCCCCTCATCCTTACTCCAACTGCCTTTGTTGCTGCGGGTTGGGACGTAAACACAGGTGGAGGTTCCTGGCTCACCGGGGCAGCGGGTCGCAGGGCAACTGTTGCAGGTGGTGGCTCGTACTGTGGTTGGTACACCTGCTGTTGGGCAGGTGGATAGAACTGATTATTCTGTTCTGGTTGTTGCTGTAGGTGTGATGATGCTGGCACTTGATCAAATGAATTCTGCCAAGTATTTTGCTGAGCCTGATGAGTTATAGGTACCTGTAAGCAGAACGTTGACATGACCACTCTTGTCAGATTAGAACCCAATTCTAGGGATCATCCATCATATTTCCATCCCACACTATACCTGTACATATTATATACTTTATTCTGAAAAAGAGTTTTTTTCAGCCAACTTCCCTTATATTGAAAGAAATACAAGGAGGCTTATGGGCTCACCTTGCTGTCTGTGTGCCCCCTCCCCCAGTAACTTTTCCCAGCAACAGCAACATGTTCCTGCAGCAATGAATACACATCCAACAATAGAAGAACTCATGGACATAGTGTTTTGAGAGTAAGAACTCTCAGAACTTCTTGATTTTATAGAGATTTTGGGCTTCAGTGTTATGACACTATGTAGCGTGGCAGGTGGTTACAGACATTTTTGAGGAACTTGCTGCCTCAGTCTTGAGGATGGAGGCAGCAGATTCTTACGAAACACTGGTGATTACCTACCAGACTACACAGTGTTGTCATGACAGGTATCGTAGTATGTATGAAGTGTTATGATGTACATGTGCATTCTGTTTTGTGTTCAAGCCTGTTGAATCTGAAATCAAATTTATTTAAGAGCCCAGTTAGTGAATATCCTAATAATGAACTGTGAAAGTGAACCTTGTATCAAACAAAACAAAAATATGAATCCTGTTTTATACAGAGAAGTACAATAAGAATGGAGAGATTGAACATCCATCCCAACCTTCCACAGTTTTAACCCTTTCGTGTGTTTCCTTGCAGCAGTTCTAATTACTATTCTGTGTAACTCTCTGGAAATGAATTAATCTGTAACAGCTATGCTGGGTAATGTTTTTTCATAGGTGATATATAAATGCTGTTAGGAACTAATGTGTTTTATATATGTTTTATTTTGCTTCTCTTTATATTTTTTTGCCATATACATGGAAAATGTGGACCCAGAATCTTTGTGTAGGGAGTGAAGTGTTGTTTAAACCGAAGCAGGAGCATAGTATCACATGATGCTCATCTCAAAGAACCTAAACCTCCACATTGTGCTTCACAAATTATTTCCTTTCTAAAATGAAAGAAAATGTAAAAATTTTACACTCCTCAATACTACACCATGGACATGTGAGTGGAGGCATTCTTGACCTTGGCACTAGATGGGACTTCATCTCTGGCCACCAGACTCTTTAGGAAAGTTTTGACACTACTATAGGATAGAGCAGAAAGTTGGTTGGACAATTCCCTGTCTCTATCATTGGAACCATTTCAAGAAATATAGGTTCTGTTCAGTACTCAGGTGAACTGTTAAGTATTGTACAAGGGCTATTCAGATGAAACCTGTTCACAGCACTGCAAGTTATTTCATCCAGTTGTAGGTTATAACATGGTTGTATGCATGACACACCAGCAGTCTATCATGAGCAGTGCAACAGTAGGAACACGTTAGAACAAATGGAATTTGTGATGTTCCAGGTGCACAGTCTGTCTAAAGAGGACCAGCAAAGTGCCATACACTTCCTTGATGCCAAAAGTTATTACCATTGATGTACAGCACTATTGTGGAACCCACTGAGACCTTCAAACTGCCACCAAGAGAATGTGTTCTGGCATATTCTTGAGGGGGCCATTCTGTTGGGGATGACACCACCTGTACCTATGTGATGCATACTGTCCAAGACATGCTGTGCTTTGTGCACTACAAGGTGTTGGACCTGTCAACATGTGACTTCTTTATGTTTGGCCCCTTGGGAAAGTGCCAGAGGACCACAGATTTGAGTCAAAGACAGCAAAGCTGGGCAATGCAGAGGTTTCAGCAGCCCAGGGATTTCCTTTGGGTGGGACACATCTGCTGGTGCATCATCATGATGCGTGTCCACATGCTCATGGGGACTGTTTTCAACGGCCTCTGCTCCATTGTCAGGAACAGTCCCTGAATGGGTTACATATGAACAAACCTCATGTGTGAATATTCTGTGAGACTCCCATGAGGCATTATTTGCCTTATTTGCTCACATATGACACACTGTTGGCTAAGTATTTTTGACTCAATTTTCCAAGGCTGTCCCTAAGTGAGTTTCATCTATTATAATGAAAATTTGAACCTATTCATAAGCTCAGCATGTGAACCAATAGGTACTCTTGTGAACAAAGCCGTGAACCTTTGTGTTCCTTAAAAGTCAGGGCATTTCTGACTAGCTGACTATGCTCCATCGAATTCATTTATTCATATACACGAATTAATTAGGATACCACATGTTATTTTATGCAGCCCTTCAGTTACAGAAAAATGTGTTACCTTGCCGTAAACTGGTTGCTCTGTAACAATGTTCTCAAAATTCTCTGGAAGAGGTGGCCAAGCAACTCGTTTCAGACCTAGAACAGATAGACATTTCAGAATTACTGTTTGCTTGTCCATTTGATTAAATAATTTTGTAACTCAGTTTGGTTTTTCAAAGAATTTATGAAAAAATAATAATTGTACATTATGTATTTACAAAAATATTAATTTCAGAAATCCATTCAAATAATGGTTATGGAAGGATATTTATGAGCACTGTCATGGTGTATGTGCGGAAGTAGATTCTGTGTTTATTGTATGATGTACTGTACCAAAATTATTTACTTTTTCATTTTGGCTTTTATGTAAAAGTGATGATATGGGATTCTGGAAGTATATACAAAAATATAGTTATTTTAACATCTGTGATTTTCAGGAGTGTTATGCACATTAATATGACTATACTGTTGTCCCAGTTTTGGGTCAGTCCCTTGTAGTGATGCTGTGTTTCCACATTTGGTAGTCTGTTGTAATGATACTGTGTTTCCACATTAGGCAAGTTCCTTTTAGTGATGTGTGTTTCCATGTTGGGTGAGTCCTTGTAGTAATTCTGTGTTTTTGTGTTAGATGAGTCCCTTGTTAGTCAGTGCAGTGCATGCCAACATTAATCCCTTCCATATTCTCTGTGACTGCTGTTCATTATTTTCTGGAGTTTGTGATCTTCAGGGATACATGTCATACTTTTTTGTAGGATCTGAACTTCTATAGCAGTGGTTATGAAGGGTTCTGTGTTCTGGGATATAACGCCCCACAGACCACTGAAAATCAACTGATATTTCAGAGGAAAATATCACCTCCATTTTCAGGGTCAGAGAATAAGCCAAGCTTGCCATTGACTTCATATTGGTTTCTTGCTTGACATATTTTTTTACGCTGAAAATGGAGGTGATATGTTCCTCCAGTGTGTCATTCGATTTTCAACAGAATTCACAGGATTGCATTCCAGAAGACAGAACTCTAAATAATTTCTTGGTAAAGTTTTTGTAAAATGTAAAACAGATTCTTTAGAAATTATGTGGGCTTACATACATATAATAGCACATTAGCATAAGTCTATTGAGATTTCAATGGGGAAAATTGTGGTTATCAACATCATTACTGAATCTAGAGCATCAGATTTGTTGAGAAAATATTTGTGCATGAGCAACATCTTTTACAATAAAAAACGAACTTTTCCAAACATATCTACCATCAGTGCCTTGTAAAGTTCTGGAAAGACAGCTGTGTTTATACCAATATACGAAACTTCATAGAATAATAATATTCACTAAGTTTGGGGTTCTCAAAATTTATGATGTGACCCTCCCTAAAATAAGAAATGAATTTATGTGATCCCCATTTCTGCCAGACAGTAAGAAGTGCAGTTGTGCACTTTGTTACAGGTCCTTATCAGGCTGTACATTAAGAGCAGGAACCTAAATGGCTTTGCAGCCCCTCTGCAGATGTTCCTGTACAGTTATCAAAAAGTTTACAAAATGCTTCAATAGCTACATTTTCTGAAAACACCTGCATTAAATGCTAATGACTTACTGACTTGCCAGAACTATAGGTGGATACAACTATTTTTTCAAATAATTCTTGAGAACATGGTGACTCCCTTTAGATTTCACAACACAAGAAACCATGCACTAAGTGATGCTGTTATTAGAAGAGCAATGTGAAATATGTTTTTGGGAAAGGTGGCACTACAATGCCAACTAAAGCATACATTCCACTGCTGTTTATTGCTGCCATCTTCTGCACCTATCTGTAATTATGTCATACCATACATTTTAACAAAATAGCAAGCATTAACCTTTTAGACACATATGTACATGGGCACCACAAGGTTTTTTAGTTGAAAAGGGGAAGCAAGAAAATATGCTTACAAACTTGCATTTAAGACTTCTTACTCATATGTAAAACAAAACTTTAAATTTTTGTTATTAATATTTGGTATATTTCCCTCCTTTTTTCAATCTTGGTATTTTCTTTTTCAGAACTCCAGCGAGGGTGGGTGCTTATTTGCTTCCTCCTGGTGCCCTTGTATGAGTATATCTAGACATATACATAATACACATAATGTTACCACATTGCGAATATTTGCAATTCCTTCAAATGTTGCTGTAGCTGACAGCATTTCTGTACTACAGTATTTGCTTAGTATTATAGTTTACTCCTCTTACACTATTATAAATAAAGGATGAAAGCACAGAAATAAATGTGTCATTATTCTGGAAGACTCTTTATACGTATAGGTATTCAATTTCTTCGGCTGACACTATCGCATTTTTGCTATTAAATGCAGATCCAGGTAGTCAGCACAGGCGAATGAAGCGATACATTGTGCGACTCCCTTTCTGCTTTTGTCATGGCTGGAAATTGGATAGATGTTATCCACTGAGTTTCATAGCGCTTCATTCTGAGGAAGCTATTTCAGTTGTTTTTAAGATGTCATAACTACCGTTCACAACAACAAATTTTTGATCATACATTGTAATAATTTGCTTAATACATGTTGGTATTTCCCAAGGATTTTCTACTGATCTGCAGCGTCTGCTTATTTCTGAAAAGCATTTTCGTCACAGCATCTCGGAATTTCATGTTATTGTAATTGTGACGAAGTTCTGAGATAACTGTTAAGGTAAAAAAAGTAAAATAGTCCCTGTCCTTAATTAAGCATTATGCCACAAAAACACGGAGGACTGGAGGTATAGCTCAACTATTATTGACCTCCGCACTAGGTGGAGGCGAATGGTCGGCTTCACGTCTCTGCCGCTTTACCCCCGGGGAAAGAGCCCCCGGTACCCATTGTATAGGAGGCTGGGTGAGCACCAGATCCGGTCTGATGGCTATAGAGTAGAGAAAAATTTTCCCTCTGCTGCAAATGTAAACCCTGTCATTCAGCCCGTAGCCCATCAGTATACAGACAGACCTATCCCTGTACTTTTTAGATAATTGTGGGCAGGGAAATTGCTCGGCTCTAGGGTCCGCATTTAGGCTTGCGACTGTAATTACCGTATGCATGCCTAAAACCTAGCACAAGAATGGTGTGTATTATTCCGGTTTGTCTTTTGTAACAGTTGGTATCGTGTGAATGAGCTCGAGTGTAGCGCATATCTACATCAATCCCTTACATATTAACTGTTTGCTGTTCATAAGTTTGAATACAATCTGCCGCTCATAATCGTTAAATAATTCGAAATCACTGAAGGGGCTTTCTCTTTTTTACACTTTTAATGCTAGAAAATTTAGGACCATTTAACAAAGGTTGCTGGATTGGAACAACGAACAGGATCTATGGATATATTGGTATTAACTGTGGATATTTCATTAGACTGCAGTAGGGTCTGACTTGCTATAAAATACAATAATTTCTTGCCAATAAAATAAACAAAAATTCTTCCAGTTAGCAGTTAACTTTTCGTTAATCAGTAAAACTGGGCTATTTATTGTAGTAGAAATTGCAAGCTGGCCTAAGTGCAGTGTATTTTGTCTATAGCCTATTCTGAAATTTACGAAGAGAGAATAAGTGATGTTCACGACATCGTCATATACTGCAACGTAGAATAAATTGCATGTGATATAACAGTCTTGCCGTAGAAATGTTAATAGCTTTTTAATTTAAAGAAGATAATAAGTGGTTAATTTACAGTTTGTTAGCGACCTTGGATCTGTGTAAGATTTGGGTCTTCGACCTTGGATCTGCTTTTGAGGTTACGTAACGTCGATATTAGTGGTGAAAATCGAATTAACAGCGAAGAAAATGGTGCAACGAATAGCCTGGGGAAAGGATAAAACCTGTGCAGTTAATATTGGCATGGATTAATGTACCGGTAAGGAAGATACCACATGGATAATTGTCATGTTCCTTTAAAACGAGGAACAGCAAACGAATTCCGCGCTGCGTCCTAGCTTACAACGAAGTCACGCAAGAAACATAACACCCGACCACCAACAAACGTCCCACGGTCTGGCTACGTCGTGTAGCTATATCCAGACGATGGGAAGATTCCCAAGAACTATTCTAGAATATTCTGTTCATCACTAAGCGGTAGTTTCATACGAGCGGATTATTCATTTGTACGGATCGGATGACGAAAACCGGACTCTTCTACTGGCGTAACTCGGCACATTTAGTTGTTTGTGTTGGTCTCTCGACATAAAATATTAATTATGTGGATGGATAGTTTATTTGACAGGTGAGTTATTAAGAGATTTGAAATTTTGCCAGACAAAGGAACGAAAAAAATGTCCCAGTTTCTCATAACGAAGTACTCACTTTTCTTAACTACTTTGTAACTTAAAGACCTAAGATCTCAAAGCCACTGGACCTTCTAAATTTAAGCTGCCTAGTTTACTTTAAACGAGTAGCAAAAAATGTTGTGTCTTGGCCCCACAGCAAGTCTTCTCTCTCTTTATCTGTTTGGAATTAATGTCCATTTAATTAACTTTTAAGATCTCTAAATGGTATATCCACTTATATTCAGAGTGCTATGAAGTAATGAAAAGCATAATTTCTACATAATTTCTTTGTCGATGGTAAACTGCAATCGAAGACATACTGAATCAAGTCCCGTATACCGGAAATTGATGGTCAAAATCGACATTTCATGTTGAGATATGGAATTTGTACTGACCGAGCCCAAGCCTTCTTATATAGGCCTTTTATAAATGAACAGGAAGCAAATTATAATCGTTGTACATACTAAATAATGGACATTAGGATTAATTAAATTATGGCATCGATATTTTTACTGTTTATTTTTAGTGATCTCACTTAAAATTGGTACTTCTCATTTATTTTGGAATTACGCCTTTATGCACTCAGTGACGTCGATCCTTATTTACTTTGGAAATGTGCCCTTCTTAATTACGCCTAGGTTTGTAGCTGCCTACTTTATTGTCCAAATCTTCAGAATTACCCAAGTCCATCAGCGTTATTCACATATAATAGCACAGGAATTTTGCTTATTTAAATGTCACATTCCTTGCTGAAGGAAGATAAACCTACTGGTTTCGAAAAGGAATTTGGGCCTACTTATTGGAAATGTTC